CTCCCAGGCGGCCGGAGGCAAAGGGGCCGCCCCGCGAACAAAGGGGGTCTCAGGGCCGCGCACTCCTCGCGCTCCGGGTTTGGCCCCGTGGCCCTTGCCCACACTCTGCCAGCACCACAGGTGGAGAAAGGGGGGCCCTTTGGCTAATTATAGTCCTTTTGCTGCTGTTGGGATCGGTCTCCGGGCGGCTCCGGCAATTTCCGGAAAAACCCGAAGCGGGAGCTTCGGCTCTATTCGGACGCGAGAGGCTTTCCCGCTTCTTTGTCGGAAACTACCGAAGAGACCTTCGTAGTCGAGGAAGCCTGTTTCGGCTCTTTCCGGAAACTGCCGAAGTGGATCGCGCTAGTTCGGGCTTTTCCGGGTCTTGCCGAAGTGGAGTTGGTCCACGACGACGCCTGCGTCGGTTCTTCTCGGAGACAGCCATTGCTAGCGGAGCTGTTGAGCTTTTTTACTACGTTACTAAAGCACAAAGGAGCGTTCCGCAGAACTGCGGGCGCTTCCGGGGAGCATTTAATTCCACTTGCGGTCCAAGCAGCCGGCGACAGTTAGAGGAAAGGGAGGGGCGGACGGACCATTGCCTGACGATGCATTTAAAAATACGTAACAAGGCAGCCATTACTAAAAAGGTTGGGTCGTATTCTCAAAAAGGGTTACGCCGGCCATGAGGTGGGTGGTACGCAAATAGCGCACGTCTCGGGTGTACAGTTGCGCAAGGTGCGTTTCGGCTCGCAAGAGTTAGTACTCTTGCGTCATGGCAGGCATATTCTTAAAACTGTTACGCTGTTAGCGCAGCGGGAGGCGTTCGAACTTCCCGTTCGCTAATACGCTTGGTGGCGCAGTGGGCGAGTCTTGGTGCTTTTCCGTAGTAGAGACGTTAGAGGGGAGGAAGGTTCTGGAAGCGCCGGCGGCAGTTGGGCTGGTGCGCAGCAGAGGGAGGCGGAGGCACACGCTGCGGCAACAGCGCACGCGGAGGCGAGCCCTAGATCCGCCTCACAGACGGTTTAACCGAGCTCCTGTCGCTCTAGCGAGCCGCGTGCGCTCTGGGGGTGACCATGGAGGGCAGTAAGCGAAGCGGGTCTATGTCCGGGCCTGGGAAGCGCCGGGATCAGTCCGGGGAGGCGCAGATGGTAATGGCGGTAATGAGGGGGAGGGGTAAAATGGCGGCGGGATGGCGGGGAATAGACCCCGGCTTGCCGGGAAAGGCCCGGAGAGCCCTGCTGCAGGGAAGCGCCGCCACGGAAGAGTAAGGGGTGGCGGGTATGAGGGAAGGGTGTGCGGAGCGGAGTAACTGTTACCTTGCGGGCAGCCTCTACGGAGCAGGAGGTGATGTAGGGGTGGGGGCACCGGGGTTCCCTGTCCAGCTTGGCTGGGAGCCGGCGGGGGGAGCTGAGGGGGGGCTTTAGGCATCTAGTTTTTTTACGATCTTGCGAGCGAAGCCGACCCCTGTTCTTGCAGTAGCGCCAGGCAGAATTTTTCTCTGCGGCATCGTGAACTTTTTGGCGGGCACGCAGTACTCGGATGCTGATCTGAAGCTCCTGCTCTTTTACCTCTTCCCGCCATTTTTGTTAAGGTCTTAAGCTGCAGTTTGCAGCAGGTTATGGCCATTCTTTGTCTATTTCTGTAGGTATTGTTCTGTAAAACACATTCCTTGTGGCTGGACTCTTGCCTTCTCAATAGAGGCTCAACATATCCCCATCCTTGCAGATTCCCTCATGCGGATGCTGATCTGAAGCTCCTGCTCTTTTACCTCTTCCCGCCATTTTTGTTAAGGTCTTAAGCTGCAGTTTGCAGCAGGTTATGGCCATTCTTTGTCTATTTCTGTAGGTATTGTTCTGTAAAACACATTCCTTGTGGCTGGACTCTTGCCTTCTCAATAGAGGCTCAACATATCCCCATCCTTGCAGATTCCCTCATGCTGTGGGAGAAGTACATTCTTGAAAGCTTCAAAGCTCGTTTATTCCGTATTTTTTATTATAACTTTGTACAAAAATAGACGTTCTCACCGAGATTATAAATGGAAGGTAGCTGGACATGCTTAAGTTGCCACAGGTAACATTTAGGCCTTGTTTTCACTACAAACATTAGGCTAGTGTAAAGTTCTCCTGCCCTGCCCCATGACATTGTGTAAGTTAGAAACACTCTTCTATCAGCAAAAGTTCCATCTATATGAGGATTTTGCCACTTAGTTGTTAGGTATATGTTTTTTTCCCCCTTTCATACATCGTTATGCTGCTGCAGACAATATAGTGTAGGCCTGGCCATATTGTAGTTTCCTATTTGGTAGGATGCTAGCCAAGGTTGTAACAGTACTTTTAAGGAAAGAGACTGTTCTCATTCAAATCTCAGTAGCAAAGTAATATCTCCTCTCCTCCCCAGTATAGATATGTTCTAGGTAACACATGTTAAAATCACAGTGTAGATAGTTTTAAACATCTCAGCAAGACTGTAAATAATAGGGGGGAGCTGGAAGTCTGAAAATGGAGTCCATGTTCCACCCAAGGCAGGGCATAGCATGGGATCATGTACAATACTGATTTACTCAAGTACATGCTATTTTTGATGCACCATGTGGTAATTTAAATATGAGACTCCAATGTCAAACTTCAGAATAGTTCTGTAGCTCTTGTGGCTGCAGCATGAAAGCTTCAGTGCTGAAATTAAGCTTGTCATGCTTACTACTCCCCGGCCCCCCAAGAAGTTCTGTGCACAAAATGTTCTCAAACTTTCTTAGCGTAACCAATGTAAGGTGTAGACACCCTAGTTCCCCCTACTGAGTTACCTCTTTTTCCTTCCTAGTCTCACTGGTTGTGTGGTGAAAAATGACAGTTTTGTATATATTTTTGTTTCCTTGGTAACTACAGTGTCTTGCAAGTGTCCTTCAGATCCGCAGAAGTTTCATGTCATATATTCTAATAGGTAAACGGTGTGGGTGAGGTACTGTTTTTTTTGTATTGGACCAACTTTACTCTAACATGATTTACAGCAACACTGCTTATTCTAGTAGCTCTTGTTAACTTGGCTTATAATACTTTCTGAAGATGTGTTATGAATATATGTAGCTTATACCAAATGATAGTAGTGCCTTGATCCAAGTTTTCATTAGCAGTCCATTTCCCCAAACCCTGTCTCAGCTTTGCCCCACTCCAGCTAAGTTTGGAGTAATTTGTGAAAAATATTTATGCAAATATCTTGTAGCATTAATATAGTGGTCCAAATATTCCCATTGAGCAGGGGTTCTCAAATTTTATGGCACCACAACCCCCCCTCTGTGCAAGAACAATTGTTAGTTTGATGCCAGTATGAGGCTTGAAGTCTGAGTCAGACTAAACCCTGGGTTGGGCCGGGTGGGGGAGGAGACAAAGCCCAGGGGCTTCAGCAGG